AAGGAATCCATGACCAACACCAACAGATCAACGTGCACGCGTATTTGAACAAACGTTGCCATCATCAGGATAGCACTTTGGCGCCAAACCTCAACGTTCCGGTCGACTAACTTCAACCTTTTGGCCGCCAGTTAGAACATGTTTTAGTGTCTGGTGTTCACGCYTAGTTGCAAACGACTGTAGCTCCCAGTGCACGTGGCCCTCAATCAGGCGGGCGTGTCTAAAAATCTGGTTTAACGTGTTTAATAGGTTTTTTTCGAAAAAAAAGCCAACAAAAATAGTCTTGTTTGATGCACAGACCGATTGTTAAAAATCACAAATGGCATTTATTTGGAGAGCTTTTACTTTACGCCTTCAACTAAAGTGAAGGTTCTTTTTTGTCAAAKTTAATAATTTATTGTATTACCCGCGTCCTTATACAGTAATACGTTAGTTGCTTCATCAAACTCATTTTATCTAACATAACAAAATTTGATGACAGAAGAAAACTGGCTTTGCCATATAAAAGTTGAATATGGGTTTTCCGCGCCAACATTTCGTTTACAGCTTAATTAACTTATATATATATATCCTAGGGGGCTAAGAGAGAAAGACAGAGAACTTATAGCTCCTGTAAAAGAGAGAGAGAGAACGCAGAGAGACACGTGGAGGCTTGAAGCTGAAGCCGTGGGTTTTGTTATGGTATGCGGATAATCATAATTATAAAGAGGTTATCCAAAAACCGTCTTAAAGGAGCAAAATGCCCCATATTCTGAGACTGAAAGTTTAGGAAGCATTTAACGCTTCCAGTACCTAAAAAGACTATATATTTTTTATCCTAAAAAAAACATCGGACTAGATAGCTTCCTGCAGGATTAGTTCATTTTTAGTAAATAACTGTCTTGTGTCGGTTTATTAACTGTTCAAAAGTTTCAAAGAAAATCAAGGAAGATGGCTTAAGTTGTAAAATCTAAACTTCTAAGTTATATTACCAACAATTGTATGTAAACATGCACTTAAGTTAAAAATTCAAACTCTTGACCTTTATGATAGTGGTTGAATAGAGAGACGTTCTCACATCAAAATRTGTAAAACTTACCCACAACAAAATCCTTATCGTTTAGCACATCTTGCAAATAATCGTCATCATCTAGTATTCCATTAGCTTCGGCAAGTCTTAATTCACATTCATTGGAGTAGAATACCWCCGGTGCAGTCGAGCGAGAGGCAGAATACTTATTAAAACGCTTAACGGTTTCTTCTTTGAGCCATCCTACCTCCTTCTTATCCGAACCACACGGAATGACAAACCATTCCTCTTCGATTTTCACATTGATCTTCATGATATTTCTTGTGATTGAATAATATTTAACTGATGTTATAGACCTTATAGTTAGTTGATCTCCTGCTTTCGCGCTTCGTGTGATGATRTGTATTTTCACTGAGAAAATCAGGTTTTTCAAGCGCCACAAATCGAACAATAAGCCACACCCCCAGCTACGCCTCCGGGTAAAATTTCACAGGGGAGGGTAAGTGTAAAATAGCTTTAAGTAATTATATCCTCTAATTTTAGTCTATAAATACCTTAAATGCGTAAACCCTAAACAATATTACATTAGCTTTTAGTGTTTTAGAGATGGTGATAATTTTATAAACAATTACATCGTAATAGCTATGTTAAAATTCGCTTTACTTTCCCTCCCCTCCCTTAAAGTTATGTGTTGACYATGAGAAACGTGGGCTCTGGGTTCAAGATTACAAACAAGCTGGTCAAGTTCATTCAGGACTCAAAATGTCGTCTTTAAAGGATGTTTGTGCTGGATTACCGGTGGATCCCTTACCACAACCAAGGGAAAGAGATAATTCAGTCCCTCATGCTCCAGTCAGGGCAACTCATTTATCAGAAGATGAAGAATTGGTGAGCAAATTAGCACGAATTGTGTTGTCTTTAACGTGCAGTCATTCACGTCTCTTCTACACGTGGAAGTGTATTTTTTATAACATTACTAAACTATCAAATAGCATTATGAACATTTATTAGATCGTTTATAACACAAATATGAGCTTATTTTAGAAGATTTCTCATAATTTCAAGATTTTATCGTAACTCTTATGTGCGTAATTACTCACTTAGAAGTCACGTCCACAAACATCTTCCACTGACTTCCACCGGCTTCCTGACGTTACTCAGTCTTAATTTGTACCAAAAGCTCTTAGATACGTGAGGATTTTCGCGTTTTATTTTGTTAAGAGAACAGTCCACTATCTTTCAGTTGTACTGTTATGCAACAAGCTTATAAATATTCCTTAGAGGAATATATACATAATTTTCATTTTACGCACTAGTGAATTGATGCCCYTATTCTTCGTTTGCACATGACATCATCTATAGCTGCCATCTTGGATGAATTYTGTTATATCATCTAACATGGTTGCTATGTCTTTTGTTATTTCACTCCCCTGGGAATGATTGAAAACCAGCAATGCCAGGAATTAATATCCATACCCTCCCCTTGGAGTATTTTTTAAAGGACCCCCATACCCCCTACCCCCTGGAAATTCCAATTTTCTTCCATACGAACTCTGTAATATCGTTCTTTCTCTGACCCCACCCCTCAGAATCCCAAATTCCTATGTGGGATGGATAATTTCTGAAATTTATGTTTTCTGCACTAGTCATCACAGGATGGTATAAATAGCAGATATAATAGTGGATGCATGCAAATGAGACAACAAGCATTGTATCAGCCTGATAGCCTTGATTGGATGATTTTTAAAACAAAAGTATATGGCATTGTGGGCTCAACTGTAATGAAAGCTATTGTGTTAGATTGTGTTACATTGACAAAAAAGTTTGGACATTGTTCTCGGATTTCCATACAAATTCACTGACTTTAAAGAGAAAATTTAGGTAGATTTCTTTAGTTAACTCTCTTAACAGCAGTAAGAAAAGCTTCAATCAAGCTAGAAAAATGATCAATTACTTGTATTTAGAGAACTAACTAAACAATCCAAGTAAATAGTTCATTTAAAGCCAGTACATTTGTATGGAAATTTGGGAACAATGTCCTAACTTCTTGGTGCATGACTGTGACACAATCCAACATAATTTATACCACGTGATGACTAGTGCTGAAAAGGTGAATTACACAATAACACAATATTGTGATTCAGATTTTGACCTCTTAATTTACACAATGATTCTATTACAGAAACCTTGAGGTGTGTTTTAATTTATGTATTAATCGCACACACCATTGAAAATACAGCCAATCAAAAATGAAGGAAGACTGTTTTATATTCGGCAGTATTATAATTATGTTTTGGCAATGCCATTTCAGACCATGTGTCATTCCCTAGAGTAATATTTCAGTGTTTAATGGTTGCACATGGGAATAAGACACATGAACATGTTGGATACAAATCAAACTAAGAATCTTACTCTCAAGAGAATGACACGTGGTATATGAAATGCAAACACATTACCTGATTAGCAGTTTATTTAAGCCCAGTGCTCATTTCAGACCAATCTGTCGCTATGTTGGATACCAAAGTTAAATCCTTCTATAGTGTATCATGTTGTTGCTAAGCAGCTTTGAACTTTTTCGAATTTTTTTGTAGCTGGCTCTTCAAAATGCACTGCGATACTTTCCCCCAGAAAGACATGAAACTTTGGCTCCTGAGTTTGCACAGGAGCTGAGAGATTATGGCCATATTTATATGTATCGGTTCCGACCAGACATTCACATGAGGTATGTATGCGTGACTGGATTTGAAAAGCTCACTCTTTGGCTATGCTATGCTACGACTGTGACGTCATAGTGTCTGAAACGTTTGAATTCATCAATACCGTGAAATAACAATGACTTCTGTGCTGATTAAAGGCAGGCCACAGCTATAAAAATCACAGATCAATTAATGCTGAAATAGCCTCTGGGCTGAGCAAAGTCAGGGCAYAGCTATTATAATAAAACAACCTCAGGACTGATCTTAATTTTCGCAAATTTAATTAGAATTTAGTAGTTTTTTTGAAGGGACGAAAAACCAAGAACCCTGAGAAAACCTTCAAATCTAGGGATTGAGAGACTCGACAAACTTTACTCACATGTGATCAATGCTGAGTCCAGGAATCAAACCTGAGACCCTAGAGGTAAGTGCACTACTGCTGTGCCAACCTTATCAATTGATTCCTTAAAGGGATCTTATCAAGTTGATTTTGAACAGGATTTGTCAGGCCCAAGTTCCATTAGGCTGTAACTGTAATGATACATCATAGGTTCGGTATGATACATCTACATTAGCTTAATAATTTAGGTCATCCATTTCTTTCCAGGGCCTATCCTATTGATGAATATCCTGCCAATACTCGGCAAGCAGCYGCCATTATGCACATGATCATGAACAACCTTGACCAAAGAGTGGCTCAGGTTAGTACCAGTTCTCTTTATTTTTGTTAACTTCATTGTCTCAGTTGGTTGTACAACCCCCTGTTGTGCAGGAGGATGTTGATTCAAGTAATGGCCAGACCAACACTTGGGGTGCTAAAATATCCATAAGTAGAAAGTGCTGCTCATACATGTATCTGCAAATGGGGATGTCTTTGCCATGGCTTTGATGACCGTTGGATGTAAAATGGCGGTCTCTTCTCATTCAGAGACATTAAGAAAGAGGACCACAATTTTATCAGTCCATATTTGTGACTGTCGTGTGTCACCATCTTTAAATAAAGTTCATTATAATAGTAGAACAGCTTTTTCCATTTCCAAATTGATGATTCAATTAGTAATGAGAAGCACCAGCCTCACCTCGTTTCACTCAGTTATTTCATTCATATGTAGAATGACAAAATGCATGGTGTAGCTTTCAATTAATGTTGTTTTACTCCACTGTTTTGCAAAGATAACATGCACGTTGTACTGCATGATGATGTATGCACTGTGCTTTATTCTCTGAAGGAGTACAGTTGTGATCATACAAATGGAATCAAGATGAACATATAATGAGGCCAGGATACTTACCACTATTCTTTCTTATTTTTTCCCAGTACCCTCATGAGCTGGTCACGTATGGAGGAAATGGCCAGGTATTCAGTAACTGGGCCCAGGTAATAATTAATACAAGTGACTGCAATTAATCCATACAGTTATAAACCATGCTATACAGTTATGTAACCATGTGTTACGCAGTAGCCAGAGGAGGATCTGACACTAGTATCCCCAAGTTCCTTTGCATGCTTATTATTGTTTTCTTTGGTTTTAACTGGTTTATGTGAATCTTTTTTGTATGATACTTCTACCACTAATAATACTAATAATATGAAGTCATGTTTGACTGTTCAGTAGCCTCTTGTAGGACATACTTCTCTGATTGAAGAAAAAGAGAATGTATGTGCATGCTCTGTGCAATTATATAAAGCACTGGGGAGAGGGGGGATKGGAAGAACACAAGAGAAGTATTAGTATAAGCACAAGACATAGAGTTGTGCTTTTCAACACTTCTCAATATTGTTCTGTCAATTACCAAGTGCTTTATGACACAGCAGACAAGTTTTGGTATTGCGATTCACTAAATAGTTTCTTATATTTTTGAGACGACAATATTTCRTRGTATTGTCATTTCAAAATTAATGTTTCTGATTGGCTAACACATGATGAAAAGGAAAGCTAGAGCGCGCGCACATCAATTTYTTACGCTTGTTGCTTGTGCCATAGCGCACCCTCGTAAGGTGAATCTCRCTTTTAATCAACGAAAATTGGTCAGTTTTTTTTGTGTGTGTGTTGAATCCTTTAGAATCCATYACTTGGCGACTCCGCCCAATACCAAATATATTTTCTCCCAAATAGCCGTCAATATTTCGTGGTATTGTTGTCTCAAAATCGTAATTAGTTTATATTATTACAAATTAGCAAAGCCTTTTTATTTTTGGATACTGCTCACATGAAAAAAATAGAAAACTTGAGTAGGTGCTGTGCTCTCATAATTATAATGAATCAGCCTTGGCCAATCAAAAAGTTAGATTTATGGTACTGATTTTGTTAAATAATAATAATGAAAATCACTTCACTTTTTGTTTGTAGTTTTGGATAGTAATGAATTATCTATCTGAGATGACAGAAGAACAGACACTGGTGATGAACTCTGGGCACCCTCTTGGTCTGTTCCCAAGTTCACCAAGCTCACCAAGAGTTGTTGTTAGTAATGGGATGGTAAGTCAAGAATTTGAGTGTCACTTGATTAATGGGTGATAGAAGTGCTGTGGAGAGTGGTATGGGATTGGTGCTAATGGGTGATGTGGGTACTGTGAAGGGCATGTAGGTGGTGCAACAGGTAATTAGGCTAGTGTGAAGAGTGGTATGGTGTAATGGGCGCTGTGGGTGCTGTGAAGGGTGTATAAGTGGTGCAACAGGTGGTATGGGAAGTGTGATAAGTGGCATGGTGTAATGGGCGCTGTGGGCACTGTGAAGGGTGTATAAGTGATGCAACAGGTGGTATGGGAAGTGTGATGAGTGGTATGGTGTGATGGGTGCTGTGGGTGCTGTGAAGGGTGTATAAGTGATGCAACAGGTGGTATGGGAAGTGTGATGAGTGGTATGGTGTAATGAGCGCTGGTGGGTGCTGTGAAGGGTGTATAAGTGATGCAACAGGTGGTATGGGAAGCATAATGAGTGGTATGGTGTGATGGGTGCTGTGAAGGGTGTATAAGTAATGCAACAGGTGGTATGGGAAGTGTGAAGAGTGGTATGGTGTAATGGGTGCTGATGGGTGCTGTGGATGCTGTGAAGGGCGTATARGTAGTAAGGCAGGTGGTATGGGAAGTGTGAAGAGTGGTATGGTGTAATGGGTGCCGATGGGTGCTGTTAAGGGCATATAGATTGTAAGGCCGGTAATTTTGCAAGTGTGAAGAGTGTTATATAATGGATGCCGATGGGTGGTGTGGATGTCATTGGTGTTATAAGGTGGTATAGGTAGTGTGATCAGTAACATGAATAATGTGTTAGGATGTACAGAAGAAWGTCTCCACCTATGAAACAATTGGTATCATGTATGAAATATAAACAATTTTTTTCAACTTTAGATGGTTCCCAACTACTCTACCCGTGAGATGTATGACAGACTGTTTGCCCTTGGTGTGACRATGTATGGTCAAATGACAGCTGGTAGCTATTGTTATATCGGACCCCAAGGAATTGTCCATGGAACAACCGTAAGAAAGAATGAAAATCGCCTACAGTAATTGTTGGGTTGCCTGTGTGTCTTTTGCCACAGGAACCCCAACAACTCAGAATGTCTTTTGGACGATAGGAATAAAACATGTTGTAAATGTTGGTTTTAGATTGTTGTCATGAATGCTGGAAGAAAGTACTTGAAGGTGGAAGATTTGAAGGGAAAGGTATGAYGTATGATGTAACCCACCTCTAGCTTTAGTGTAATGTTTAGAAGTTGTCTGACATGGAAAAACATTTGCCCAAGCTAGCGGTTTTCATATAATGGACCATAATCAGGGGGAGGGGGGGCAGTGGGATTGGCTAATGCTTAACTAATACTAGAAATCTAACCCCCCCCCCCCCCCCCCCCCCCATTCCATGATTACAAATAAATGGCCCCTCCACTGTTTTCCATTCTGTTCATTGTTATAAAGTGTGTGCCCTCTTGAGCCTTTTTTTTAAATAATGGCACCCCCTTAAATCTCACTGCCCTGTACCTGGTAAAAAAAAATGGATGTTCCTATTTGTAACCTTTTTCTTGTTATATGCACAGGTGTTTGTGACGTCAGGGCTTGGAGGAATGAGTGGGGCACAACCAAAAGCTGCTGTCATYTCAGGATGTATTGGTGTCATTGCCGAGGTAGGTAGATATAGGGTTRTCCTCATTCTCAAATAACATTATTAATATTGCACTTGACATGGTTTGAAGGGGATTTCAAATTCCAACAGCCGTTAAAATAAGTTATATATAAATATTATGAATGTCATGTTCTGATTGGACGGAAGAGGGTGCTATTATGAGAGCACAGAGCATGTGCCACAGCTCTCTATTATTTTTGCCATTCATATCCAAAGTAGGGGTTATTCTAGTTCGTATTTTATAAAAGAATTAAAAGCTTGCTTGCTGTGCTTTGCAGAGTATAGTCCTAAAGCACTTGGGGATTGGGAGAGGACTCGAGAAGTGTTGAGAAGCACAGTCTCTACTGCCTCGTGCTCTGGCAATCCCCGCATGCTAAATAACTACCTGCAGCAAAAGCATGCGTTTTCTTTTTCTTTTATAGGGAATGTACCGTCTTGTGCATTAACAAATTTTTCATTCATTTTCCCCAGGTTGATGACGCAGCATTAAAAAAGCGATACGACCAGGGGTAAGAAGTAGTGATTCTCTTTTTCAAATCACTAACCATTTTCATTTGAGCGCCTTAATTTTGATGTTTTGCAGCTCAGTCAATGCTAAAGAATTTTAGCAATTTGACTAAAATTTTGTTGAATATTATTTTTCTTAATAGGTGGCTTCTGGAGTACACATCAGATCTTGATACCTGCATCGAGAGCATCAGACGTGCTCGACGTGAAATGAAACCAACGAGTCTGGGATACCTCGGAAATGTAGTGGATTTGTGGTGAGTTGAATTTGATAAATATAAAACAGTTTAGGAATACCTTAGCAATCCTAGTCTCCTACGCAGCCACTATTAGTGTCATCATGCAACGCTCTCTCAACACTAATACCAGCTGTGAAGGAGACTATAGGAATCCCTGAGGCAAACTATTTTATAAAATAASAAGGACACAAATTAAAAAATACTGTCTTATCCCTCCTATAAATAAGTCCAAATTCAGAGCGAGCTCAAAAACATGATGTGAGCATTTTAGAAAAAACATTTTGACCAATCAGACAATACATAACATAACATAACAATACATTGTCTTGTTCAGGGAAAAACTTGCTGATGAATATGACAGGACGGGGGATCTTCTTGTTGACTTTGGGTCGGATCAGACCTCCCTTCATAACCCGTACAATGGTGGTTACTATCCCTGTCAGGTTGGTATGTAGTTCTAACTAGGTACTCATGAAGAAATAGAAAACGCGCGCGTGTGCTGTGTGCAGTTGTAAAACACGCGGGAATTGGCAGAACAAGAGAGAAGTGTTAGGAGAAACACGGCGCATAGCAAAGTGCTTCTCCACACTTCTCGAGTGTTCTGCCAATCCCCAAGTGCTTTATGACTCCACACAGTACAGCAAGCAAGTTTTTTATCTCTTTTATAAAATGCAAAAGGCACTGCGTGCTGTGTGCTTTCATAAACCACGCGCTCCCAACCAATCAGAATGCGAGATGTATTAAAGTTATTTTATAATGAGAATTGGAAACCTATTGTTATGTCCTCCAAAATGTACTGCATTCCCACGTGCTGCTATGCCAACTCGATCCATTCACTAAGTTAGTATTGAGACAACCAGCTTTTTGTATTCAGGTGTCGTTCGAGGAAGCAAAAGAAATCATGAAACACGATCCTGAAAGATTCAAATCCCTTGTCCAAGAAAGGTAAGGCTTGATTAAATGTTTTGGTGAGCCGCTGCTTCCGCTACAAAGTCGTATTTTTTTTCGTACGCGTGAGAGATTTGATAGACTTTGAAGACTCTACACTACTCCAGTTTCGAGTTGCTCAGGGTTAGCCTCGACTTTGTGCAGAATGTGTTCATGTGTTCATTCATGTGTTCCAGTGAAGATCCGTGGTATTTTTGTTTCGTTTAAGTTGTGCATTCTTTACTTTACCTTTAGTATGCACCATTTCCGCATTCTGAGTTCGATCGGTGAGTTAGGCGTGCCTCGACCTGAATCGGCCCTGAGAAAGCTATCACGACAAAAATCTTATGGCTGTAGCAAACATGGCCGCACTGTACTTTGCCATTTAAGTAATTTCTCTTTTCTTTTTCAATCCACAGCCTTCGCCGACAAGTGGCTGCAATCAATAAGCTATCGAGTCGTGGGATGTGTTTCTGGGATTATGGCAATGCTTTCCTCCTGGAAGCGAGTCGAGCCGGTCAGTCAGTCCACTGTGTCACAGTATTCGTGACATTCGTGATCGTGTTGATCGTTACGTGATTTGATTTATCGTTGTAAGGCGCACCGGTTGTAGAGTTAGTCAGTCAGTCCACTGTTACAGTATTCGTGACATTCGTGATCATTTCGATCGTTACGTGATGTGTTTTATCGTTATCAGGTGCACCAGTTAACAAGGAGGGATGCCTTCCTGGTACGTTTGTTTATCCTTCATATGTACAAGATATCATGGGGTAAGAGTCTATCGTATTTTCTTGTAATCTATTTTGTAATTAGGACTTGGTATAAAGTTAAAAATAGCTCGGCACGGCACGCATGAAGTTCACAGAATTCAATGGACCAATCACAGCAAGCAAAGCTTCTACTCATCCAATCAGAGCAAGGCACGTTATGGCGTTCCCCACGCTAAATCTGCTTCAAAGAAAACAGTTACAATGTCGTACATAAAACTTGATCTGACCTTTTCAGAAAAAAAGACCAAAAAAAAAAGACCTTGTTTACCTTGTAAAGGTAACTGTATCCCGCACTTTTCCAACTGAAAATTCTTGGTTTAGTCCRAGTACAGTTGTAAACCAAAGTATTGCCCTTTTGTCAATAAAAGGTTCAAAAATCTATTTACAATACCCTTAGAGAAAAGGTTCCCTTTGGTCGATACAAACATTTCAATCTAATTGATAATCTTGTTTGATTTCAGGGATATATTTTCATTGGGTTTTGGTCCATTCAGGTTGGTATACTAAACTAGAATAAATTATCATTCAATAGACCTCTTCATCTTTTGCGCAATGTTATCCCATTTCTGACCCTGCACATGCACGTGTCATTCTATTGAATATAAAATTCTGTGTTTGAATTGTATCTATAAATGGGAAAACTTAAGTAGTATTTAAATTCACGTGCCTTCTCTTGCGTAACCGTTAAATAAAGAAATGATACTCTGGAGAATGACACGTGGTCTGAAATGGGAAAACAATACGTAGAAGATAAATGGATTTGTTCTACAAATTTGTCGAATTTTTTCTTATTATCCTCAGATGGGTGTGTACATCAGGTCTTGCTGCTGATCTTCAAACTACTGATGAGATAGCAAAAGAAGTTTTGGAGGAAATTATAAGCCAAAGAGGTAAACCATTCAAAACTAATTCTTTCACAAAAAGTCTGTAAGCATTAGTTTAACTTTTATGTTGTAAAGAAGTTGTAATGAAATTGGGTTATTTTTTCTACTGTTTTTTTTTWGCTGATGATGATGGTTGTGAGGCGGGTGTTAGTGTTGTTGAATATGCTGGCCGGTGTTGGTCTTGGCGATGGTAATAATGGTGATGTTGGTGAGCCGTGATGAGAATGATGGTGTTGGCGATTGTGATGGTGATGGCGATGGTGATGGCGATGGTGTTGGTGATGGTGGTGGTGATGGTGATGGTGATGGTGATGGTGATGGTGATGGTGATGGTGGTGGTGATGGTGATGGTGATGGCGATGGTGATTGTGGTGGCGATGGTGATGATGGTGGTGGTGGTAATGGTGATGGTGGTGGTGGTGATGGTGATGGTGGTGGTGGTAAATTTATTTCAAGTCCATAACGTAGGAAGTGGCTACCCAAACTTCCAAGCAAGAGACTCATATTAAAACTGCTCGGCAAAGACGGTGGTGATTCTGATAAAGATGATGATGGTGGTGGTGGTCGTTGTCGTGGTAATGATAATGATAATGATGGTGTTATTGATAAGKATGTCAATGGTGATGTAGTTGATAATGATGGCATTGGCGATCATGGTGATGATAATTGTCTTAGCAATAGTRGTGATAATTTCCCTAATAGATATCATAAAACAATCTATCTTTCTTGTAACCAGTGCCAYTGGAAGTCAAGCAGCAGTATGAAGATAACATACGGTGGATCAAAGAAGCCCAAGAACATCACCTAGTACGTTAACACAGCTGTTGAAACTATTCAGACATCAATAGCCCATTAGCAGCAAATAATCACATGWCAGTTACTGGATGGCAAAAAAAATCGGACTTCCTTTAGATTTAAAAAACTTTTGCTAGATTACTATTGTCATATCCAACACCTTTTTTAAAATACTGTATTTTTTCCTTATGAGATACTTTCGATTTCAAGATACAAAGCAATTTCAAGTTTGTTTGCCATCCAGCAGAGCCTTCCCCAAGGGAACTTGAGCTGAACTGATTCGTTATCGAAGTGATATATCAGGACGTGACTGATTGTTGCAAATTGATGGTTTTCCACCATTCCCAAGAGAATCAACTAACAAAAGACACGGCGGCCATGTTGGAGGATATAACAAAATAATTCATTGACAATTCTTTTGTTAARTTCCTCCAACATGGCCGCYGTGAAAACCATCAATAGCCTATCAGGAACGTAAGATGAGCCAGTCATGACTAATAGACCTGATTTCATTTTTAGGTCGTTGGTTCCCAAGCTCGTATCCTTTACTCAGACAGGCGTGGTCGCGTGGCCATTGCGCAAGCCTTCAATAAGGCTATCGCTGAGAAAAGAATTAGGGTAAGTTTRATGTGCTATCAACCTTGAGTGAAAACGATCCACATCTTAACGTATCTTAATTTTCTTACCCTACCCCTGTTAGGACTGTATTGTCATCAGTCGAGATCACCATGACGTCAGTGGTGCGGACAGCCCATATCGTGAGACATCAAACGTCTATGATGGATCTAGTCTTACTGCAGGTAATGATGCTCGCACCACTATGTGTCCGTGAAGTCAAGTAAATCTTAGAACGGTTTTCGTATGAATAGGAAACATACTGTWCTGACTTACAGTGCGTACACGGTACGACATGCCGTAACATTGAAATGGCTTCCCATGAGAATGGTTTTCGTATGAATAGGAAAGGAAACATACTGTACTAACAGAGCGTACACGGTACGACATGCCGTAACATTGAAATGGCTTCCCATAAGAATGGTTATCGTAAGAGTGGGAAACATACGGTACTGACTTACAGCACGTACTCGGTACGACATGTCGTAACATTGAAATGGCTTCCCATTAGAATGGTTTTCGTATGAGTGGGAACTTACAGCACACACACGGTACGACATGCCGTAACATTGAAATGGCTTCCCATAAGTATGGCTATGGAAGAAGTTGTAAGTATGGAATATTTTTATTTTCAGATATGGCGATTCAGAACGCTATCGGAGACTCTTTCCGTGGTGCAACATGGGTAGCGATACACAATGGTGGAGGTGTTGGATGGTAAGAGTAACTTTTCKTYTTTGTCTTTGAGCAGTTTTCGTATGACTGYGAAAATCTCAGTGTCGTAAGCGTGCCGTGTCTWGACCGTGATATTTTCTAGGATTTCAATTGGCCGATTTTTTCTCGCGCAACGTGATTGGTCTGTCAGCGGCCGTGACTTTGATGTGACCATTTCCGCACTGTGATTCTGCCGTGTATCAGGTATTTGATTGGATGGAGAGTAAATTCTCGCCYGATGTGATTGGTCTGGCGTGAGCTTTTGACAGAGGTTACAGGTTCAATTTTCRGCCACACCAACACTCRGGGTCCTAAAATAACCGAGAAGGTGCTTCCTCTGTAATTACAAATCCGAGTCGYATAGACTTTCAAGTGGTTAGAATCAGAGTATACACATACGAAGGATGCTATGTATAAATTATAATCATATCTGAATCATCATCACACCTAGCCTCCTACGCAGGTCTTCTTAGTGTCTGTCACGTCTGTCCCTGGTGAGGGAAACATTGTGTGACAGACACAAAGAACCTCTTCGTAGGAAGCTACATCACACCTTCCCTCTCTGTTTCATGTCTTAGGGGTGAATCAACGAATGGTGGCTTTGGTCTTGTCTTGGATGGTTCACCTGTAAGTAGCAGACTTCAACACTTCTTTATTATTATCATCATTGTCATTGTCATCGTCATAGTCATCGTCTTTGTCTTCGTCTTCGTCTTCGTCTTCATCATCGTCATCATCATCACCATCATTTATTTTTATTTATTTATTTATTTATTTATTTATTTATTTCATGTGTATTCCTTGTGTTTTATGCACGTCGTTTTGATTGTAGGAAATGTCTGAACGTGCTAAACTACTTCTGTCATGGGATGTGTCTAATGGGGTAAGTTGACACTGATTTTTTTATTGTCCAAAAACGTTCCTTCTTCAATATCCTTGGTAACTTTGATTGTCACATATTTCTCATACAACTTTTTGTTAGATCCCTCCCTCAATTCGAAGGCGTTTCTCCCTCCCCAAAACCTGACAAGCTAAATAACAATGCGATCAGTGAGTTTGATTAGCATAGAGATTGTTTTAGGGTATTAGATAAATAKGATTATAACATAGCCACGCTAGCTCTGATTGGTTATTTATTAGCGTTATCAGTGAGCGTGCATCCAACGATAGATGGTTGAACAGCCMAGAGGTTGTTTCAGGGTAACAATAAAATTTGAGAAAGCAAACATTAGTCTAGCTTGGTTACAAACATCTTTTGCTCATCATRCTATCACGCTTTATTTCTAATGGTATTGTACCCAAGCTAGCAAGGAATATGCATGCAGTGTGCTCTGATAAAGCATGCACCAGCAACTAATCAGAAAGCAAGATTTATAAGAATATGTTTATGGRTAGGTGGCTCGAAGGTGCTGGACAGGAAATGAAAATGCAGAGCATGCAATATGTCGAGCAATGGAAGAAAACCCTAAACTCAAAGTTACAAAGCCACATCARGTCAAAGATGTCACTTTACTGAAGCGTGCCTTCAAACCTTGAAACAACTGTCAACTGTATCACTGGTTTAGTATCAACCTGGGATTTTCTTATGTAGTATGCATGCTGCCTGGAACAGTACATGGATCTTTGCCTCAGTTTGTTTCGCATTGAAGTTCTTCAGTACAACACTGTTTACCAAAGATATACACCGAATTGAAATATG